TGGGAGTGTGAAATAGGAAGAAAATAGCTAAAGGGGAAGTGGTAAGGGGAGGAGAAAGGAAATAAGGGAAAAGAAAAAATGTGGAAAAAATGGAAACAAAGTCTTTGTAAATAGGGAAGGGTGAAGGAAGAGCAGGGCTATGGGGAAAAAACAAGAACCAAGATATATCATGTAAAGGTACAAGATCCCTATGATAAATGTAACTGTATTGTTTGCTTTAAATGTGCCAATAAACAATGGGAAAAAAATTCACTCTATAGATCCAGCAATCATGTTTCCTGATATTTACCCAAAGAACTGAAAACTTATGCCCACACAAAATCCTGCAAGTGGATATTTATAGCAACATTATACTTAATTGTCCAAAATAGCAACAAAGATGTCTTTCAGAAGATGAATGGATCAGTCAACTAGGTATATATAGAAAATGGAGCATTATTTAGTACTTTTAAAAATGAGCTACTTGAAGAAATTTAAATGCATATTGCAAAGTGAAAGAAGCCAGCCTAAAAAAATTACATACTATATGATTCCAATTATATGAAATTTTGAAAATGGCAAAACTATGAAGACAGTACAAAGATGGTCGGTTGCCAAGGGTTAGTGGAAGGGAGAGATGAATAAGTGGAGCACAGAAGACTTTCAGGGTAGTGAAATTACTCTATATGACACTGCAATGGTGGATACAAGTCATTACTCACACACATAGAACGGTCAATGCCAAGAACCTAATGCACTCTATGGTCTCTGGTGACGTGGTGTCAGTGTAGATTAGTAAATTGCTGACAATGTACCACTCTGGTGGGTGACACTGACAATATAGGGACAGGCTGTATATAGGAAATCTACGTACCTTCCTCACAATGTACTATGAACCTAAAACTGTTCTTTTTTAAATGTCTCTTTTATCTTGGTTTAAAGGTGGTTGGATGAAACCATATTTAGTCTTATGGCAGCCATCTTGCAACCATGAGGTGACAATGTCAAGGATGAATAAACAACATTCCAAGGAGGATGGAGAACAAATGTGAGTATATGTGACACCAAATCTGAAACAACCCATCTCCAGGCTTCTTGCTATGTGAGATAAATAAGGTACCAGATTCTTAATTCACTGTTTACTGGTATTGAGGGTCATGTTCGTTTTCTTTGCTTGTCATACCATGTGGAGAAATTTTATTTTGAGTAACACTCCAAGCTTTCATCCCCACTTTTTAACCAGACTAGTGACTTATCTAGCAGACTTAGAAGCAGAACCCCTCCAGCTGGTCGCCTTCTGCCATCTGGAACCATCTCCCAGTGAAGAGATGTGCTGTGTCTACAATCCACAATGCGCCAAGGCTAGTGGGGTGGACTATGCTTGTGGAGGAGGCCTGTGCTGCCTATGACTCAGTCACTCAGAGTGTGTGAGAGGCAGAATGTCTAAAATGGCCTCCCAAGATAAACCACCCCAACCCCTACAAGTGGTGACAGGACAAGCTATCGTTCCCACGCTATGTATGGTGCAGTGGATAGGGAGATTATCCTCACAATCCTGTTCTAGTCACATGAGATCTTAAAAGCAACTTTCTCCAGCTGGCCCAGAGAGATGCAAAGCATGAGCAGAAAAACAATGCACTCTTGCCATCTCTGAAGCTGAAGGAGGTGTGTGTCAAAGAAATGTGTGTGAAGCTGAGAAAGCCGCTACCACCTGAAAACCAGCAAGAAAACAGGAATCTCATTCCTACAAATGTAAGAAACTTTTTTTCCCCCAAACATGAATGAGTTTAAAAGCTTTCCCAGACCAGGCGGTCAGTCTGACCAATACCTAGATTTTGGTCTTGTGACATTCCAAAGACACCCCACCCACACGCATCAGACTTCTACCTAAGAGCTTGCGACATCATAAATGTGTGTTGTTTCAAGCTTCTATGTTTGTGGTCAGTTGTTCTGCAACAGTAAAATTAAAAAAGCCTTTTGGTTAACAGAGCTACAACTGCATTCTCTGGTCAACTTATCAGCAATAAAGCCGACACTGTGATTCTGCTGGACTCTGCTGGCTCTCAATTCATTCTGAACTTCAGAGGAGAAGAGTTTCTGTTTACTTACTCCATTAAAAACCTAACAACAAGCATTCCGAAGTATTACACTACGCCTTAGTGATCCTTCAAAATGAAGCTCAGATCTGAGATATGTTAAAAAGACCCAAACTAGAGTCACCTCAGAATACAGGCACCTGGAAGGCTGACCCCACATTCTATTTTTATTAAACACACAGACACACACACAAACACACAATCTCTTCCCAAGAGCTAAGAGAAAATCTAACAGACAAAAGAAAGATTTACTATGCATTGTGCCAATTTTTTTAAATGCATCCTCCCCAGGAGAACTGAAAAATATTCACAACCCCAAGCTTTGCTGGTTTATATAATTTGAAGTTTTCAAATAATCACCTATGAGTAATTGGTCTTTTAAATTGACTTTAAATCAATGGCCAAGAGCTTTGAGATTGTCTAACTTTACACACAGTAAGCAAAAGGCTACTAGATCCACTGCCTGTGCATTCTGGAAGAATGTTTATTCTTCCTGGAATTCAGTCACCCTTCCAAGGGCCCCCTCCAACACTGGGTAAATGCATCCATTGTGTTGACAACTCAATCACACACGTCTGTCTAGCCTTCCTGAAAAGCTCCCAGGCTCTGAGGGCACTGCAAGGCCCAGAGTGGGCCATCAGCATAAAAATGAAATGTGACATGTGTAGGCCTCGGCCCCAGATTCTATTAAATGATCCATTTAGAGGTAGCTTCGAGGGGAAGGTGAATAGCACACTCAACTTGCAGTCTGAAATTGATGAGGGGAGACTAAGTCCCCCCATTTGGCAGCAGATGCAGGGAAATGATTAAAACTTCTCTCATTTGGAATATACTAACAAAATTCTTTTAACAAAAGGAGATGTGAAAAGGATTCAATCTAACCCTTTCTTCTACAACTAAGGAAACTATCTAGAGAAGCTAATTATATAAATATAAAAATGCCAGAATAGTCTTTCATTCCTCTTTGTGAATCCTATTCTTCTAAATGTTCGGTCTGACAGATTCACTGTTCTCTTAACTCAAAGGGCCGTGGAGCATCAGCTAAGAGACATCTTGGAGAAGTTCACAGGGCTGCACAACTAGGTCAGGGGGACCTAAACATCTGAGAAGCACAAGAGCTGAATGCTACGGTTTCCATGGTGACCGTGGAGAAGCCCAGGTGTGTGTGCTAATGAGGCCCGCTGGCCAGCCAGCACCTGGGGCAAAGGTTGTAGGACCTTCCAGAAAAGTTCACACACCAGGAGCTACTCAGACAAAACCGAGGGAGTGGCTATGCTGCCAGCTTGCTTTTCTGTGAAACACACACAGCTCTGGGCTTGCATCTGGCCTTGTGCCAAGCTTTCTCCCACACATTATTTCATTTAATCATTATATAACTTAGGCAAATAGATTCAAATTCTATCCCCTTTTGCTAATGAGCAAACAGAGGCAGGTTACCCAGGACTGCTGAGTCTACAAATGTGACTAGAACCGGCTCTTGTGTTTATTTCCATCAGCCTACTAAAACAAAACAAAACAACCATTCTGAAATTGCCTATCTGGGGAGTTCCCTCCCACTGTTCTAAAGAGAGCTGTAAGCCAGGATTTCAAACCCAGCCTAAAACTCAAAGTGTCTTATCTCAGAGGGGTATGGAGGATTGTGCAGCTTGAGAGCTTACCACTGACTGATCTGTCTTTGCCCATCATTGCTAGATTTCAAAAAAGATCTCAAAATGTCATTTTTAAAAATTAATAATCAGAAGAAAGTATTCCCTGATAAAGAAAGGTTTAGAAGGCTTGAGAATGAGATCCACACTGAACAGAAGAACAGAAACAGCATTACACCTATGCTAAACAAGATTTCTGTGCAATCATCCGAATGGATGCAGGTAAGAGGCACTGGGAACCCCGGTCATATCCATCCCACATGACTGTCCTGATGCTAGACACATCAGCTTCAGTAAATAAATTCCCTTGCTTAAAGGTAAATATTTCCAAGAGGAAAAACTAAGGAACCAACAATCATCCCACTTAGGGTGAAGCCACACACCAGTGAGCTTTTGCTGAGGGGAAGCACTCAACAGCAGGGGGCCGCACAGGGAGGACCATGAGGAGAGACTCACAGCACAAAGCTCAGCTGGGAGAAAGCAGTTCCTGGGGGAAGCCAGGATGGACCAGGGGAGCAAAGAAGTTATGAGTGGATTTACATTTCTCTACTTCTTTGCAAAGACGCTAAAGAAACCACCCCACCTTTAGGACTAAACTGAGCACTACAGTTTGAATGAATCCCCTCTAAAATTCTTGTGTCGAAAAGTTAAGGCCAATGTGATTTAATAAAAGATAAGGCTTTTAAAGATGATTGGGTCATGAGGGCTCCTCCCTCTTGGGTGGTATTAAGGCCCTTATAAAAGAAGTTGCATGCAGTTAGGCCCTTTTCCTTTCCAATCCTTCTGCCACAAAAGGACTTGGCATTTTTCCTTCCAAAAGACAGACACAAGGCACCGTCTTGACAGGAGAAGTTAAAGCCCTCACCAGAAAACTGAAGAACTGAACCTACAGGACCTTGCTGTTGAACTCCCAGCCTCCATATGTTGAGAAGTAAGTTTCTGTTCTTCACAAATTATCTTGTCTCCAGGATTCTGTTGTTGCGGCATAAACAGACTAAGACACTGAGTATGCCTTATCGCATCAGAAAATCTGCATTGGCAAATTCATACTTAACCCTGTTGTGCCATGATTCCAGAAATACTGCCCTAAAGTAGGAAGCTAATCAAGCAAAGAATGTGTAGCTACTGTGCCCAAATTAGCCAAAATGTAGAAAACACAATCGTAACATTTAACTATCTCACTAAAAGCAAATGGTGCTCCTGGCAATGCCTTCAGTCCCCTGTTAGGCTAAAGCCAACTGGGTTGCAGCAGTTAGGTTTAAATAGATGCAGTACTCACTCGAAAGACCTTCTCCACTCTTGCAATGCTTTTCCCAAAGATGGTTCCAAGTTGGTCTCCAATTCCAGCCAATAAGAAACCAAAGAGTGGAATCCCAAAGATGGCATATAAAATACAAAAGATTTTGCCTCCTTCAGTGCTGGGTGCAATATTCCCATACCCTAGTGAGAAATAGTAAAAAGAGAAGGAAAGTGGTGAGGTGGAAGAGAAAGCAGGATGCTGACCAAAGAATCCACAGACTTTTAACAAGATTTGTATATTTCCCCGCCTCCTGAGTCAGAAGGAATAAAATTTCATTTTAAAGGCTATTCAAAATAACTGCTCCATTGTTTCTCCTGATTCACTTCTTGTAAATAATTTTAAGATCTAGTACATTTTAAGAAATTCATGGTCATCCAGAATTGTACTTCTAATGGAAAAATGGTACTATTCTCTTCAGAAACACCAAAGATCATGGACATGATTAGTCTAGGGCACCTGAATGTCTGGGAAGGTTTCACAATTGCCTTTTAGATTAGACAGGAGGTGCTTCTCCTTTACAGTCCTATCATGGGGCACCCTCTTTATAGGGACAGATGGTGGCTGTCTTCAGCATGCGTTTTCATAGAGTGATAAATGCTGAACATTTAAAAAGGAAATGTGGTTTGCTACAAATTCAGAAAGGACCTATCACTTGTACAGCCCTATCCTAGGAAGCTTGGAAACAGTAAAGGATGAAGAATCTGAGCATGAAGGTGCACACTTATAATACAAGCTACTCAGGAGGCTAAGGCAGGAAGATCACAGGTTCATGCCCCACCTGAGCAACTTAGCAAGACTCTGTTTCAAAATTCATAAATGAATGTGCCTGGGAGTACATCTCAGTACAAGGCCCTGGGTTCTGTCCTCTGCATCACAAAAAGAGAAGATGATTAGGAAGATGAAAAGACAAGGAGAAGGAGGAAGAAGCCTAGCTGTGCCTGGCCCTCTCTTTCTCATTACTAGGAGCCCCATACTATCATTTAGTTCTGCTGTTCTACCCATCACCTCTTGCACCAATGGCAGAGCACTAAATAAATGCTTTTGGGTGGAACAGGTGTTTGAATACAAGAGAATCCTTGCATAGTCAGGTCTATCAACACAAATTCCAACGGATGCTTTGAGAACACCAAAATCTGCATTCTTAAGAGATTTTCAATTATACTATTGCACAGTGAGTACTGGGCCTACTCTGTGGAGATGGAGCTAAACAAAGTACCACTGGCAGAAAAGGCTTATAGTGTTAGCACAATTTCTATAAGATGAAATCCTTAAATAATTGATCTTCATTTTCATGCCAATTAGCATTACAGAATTACAATGTTATGCTAAGCAGGATCTAGATAATCACCTAGCCATTCTCCTATTGGAGCCTGTTTCTGATTCTATGCATTGAGGGAGTTTCTGGGAGCATAGTATGGGCAGGTTATGAACACAGCATAGTAAAGAATCATGTTGATGCCTGGTCTACCACATACCCTCCCATAGGCTTGGAGAGCCCACTGTTGATTTCTGCTTTGGGATGAGTCACTTGGCTATTTTCTGTCTCAATTTTCTGCTCAGACCGCTCAAACCTCTTATCACAAATTATTTAAATTACAGTTTCCATTTCCTAAATGAGTATTCAGGCAAGGCTTCCTAATCTTGTATTTCCTTCACTCACCATCATTCTAATTTAAATGTGCAGAAAAAGCTCTCAGGACTGTGCTCAAGTGTTTCCAAGAACTTGGGGGAAAAATCATTCTATTAGGCATTCCCCCCCTCGCATAATCCGATTTACACGTACACTAGCCCAGCTCTATTGGAAAGAAAACAAATGTGTTTCCACAGCTTCACTTTATGCAGGTTCTTGGAAACATTCTAGAAACTCATGGGGACACTGCAGACTCTGGCCTGGCTTTCTTACTATTGCCTGATTTCAGGGACTACAGGTTTTCTCTTCATCTGAGTGTCGTATAAAGGAGCACATCGCAGACACAGACAAATGGAAGCTGTGAATGGGCTGTTCATGCGCCCCTTTTAATCCTGGCAAATGCTACACACTTCCTCCAGCCATCAGACTAGAGCCTCTGCACTCAGCCTCTTGGATAAAACCTGCGCTCACAGGGCACCTCCCACGTCAGCCAAGAAGCAGCAGAGAGAAGTGAGGAAGCAAAAGCTCAAGGTCCAGTTCCACCCTACATGACCTAACCTTTTATCTGCTTAACCTGTCCAAATCCTAGTGTGGGAGAGATACTATTATTGTTGTTGCTGTTTTTATTACAAGTGGCTAATATTTTGCAGACTAGAACACTAAAATCAAATTAAACCAAAGTTCTCAGATAAGGGAACTCATGTCATAGTCAAAGTTTTTAAATATAGTTAAGGGCATCTTTTTTGACAACTCACTTCAGAGAGGACATAAAGCAACCAGCATGCTAGGGTAGTGCTGGCTCTTGCACGTGTACCTGGGTGTATCTGTGTTCCTTGCCCCTGGTAAACTATATGGAGAAACTGTTTGACACACTTCCCAACCTGTCACTCTTGGAAGATTCTAAAATTTACACTGGAACTTTATACTGACGAATGAGAAAGCCACCTTCCTAGAGTTTCTGCTGCCATTGTTCTGGGCATTATAAGCTGCCCTGCCCACCCTTCCAGAATGTTTGATGGGGCTTACTTCAGAGCCCCACC